GCATCTACTTCTGCTTATTTGTTTGTTGGCGTGCTTGTGTTTAATCTACGTAATGGCCCAATACTATGAAACTCGCTTCCTGCCTAGGTCACTGCACTTTATGTACTGCCCATGATTTCAAAGAATTTGGTTCTCTGTTGTTGTTGAAGTACAGTTAAAGGATTACTTGAGAATCTCCTGTTTGGACTTCCTGTCAGTTAACTGCTGCTGAGATTCCCAGTAATCCTATAGTAAACAGAGCAATAAAAATCAAGCAAATCCATAGCCTTTTTGTCTGTTGATCTCCTTCTACATTTTATGCTATCAGTTATCAGTATTATTGTGATGGGAACAGCAAGGTAGAATCAGTGAAAAGTCACAGAGGTAAAACGGAAATAAAATTAGCTTAAATTGGTCCAAAAGATGAAGAGGTTCAAGATATTCATGAAGAGAGAAAAAAAGGTATGCAAATATCATGGATTGTGTTCTTTATAAGAAATAGATCCACTGTTTAAAATCGTAGTGCAATTCACAACAACACAAAATTTGGATCGGCTTTGGAAGTGTACCTATAAGAACAAGGTGAGAAAGATGGTGTGCCTCAGTGGGAAGTTAGCAAGATCTTTAGCAAGCTAGTGATAGTATGCAAATAGGGAAATAGAAATGAAAATTTATAGCATTCAGTCAGTTTGATAACACACATTTTATTGCAGTGATTGAGGAAGTTAGGAAGTAATTATTAGCCCAATTCATCTTGTAATTCTTAGGAATAAAAGTTCAATTGGAGTCTCATAGTGATTTAGGCTAAAGCCTAAAAAAAACCTGGAAAAGCAAAATAACCTGTTTTCAGGGAATACAAAAGATACCCAAGTACTTAATTTCTTTCACTCATTCAATTAATACAATGTCAAATCAGTATGCCATTTTACAAGAAGGTCTGGAAAACTTCTCACACAGGTTCAAAATAGGTCGATAAGGAACTGAAGCGTAAGAAGTCTGTGTTTTTGTCATTTCAAAAGAGATGATTATGACTGTACCACAAAAAGGCTTGGAAGCCAAGTGGCTTCCAGAAAGCTTGGAATATAAGAAACTATTCCTGATTAAAAGCTTTTTTTTTCTTTTAAAAAATTAACAGTATATGAAACAGTATGTGTCATATATCCTTTCTCCAGTATGAAGTTACTTAAACCACAACAACTACTGAAATGCACAGCACTGAAAAAACGTTATTTTATCCTCTGCACTTCAATGACTGAAAGGACAAACGTCCTTAAAGGAGTTTGTTCAACGCTGTAGTGCATCAAAACAGCTGAATAGTTTTAAAAGTGATATACTTCTACAGCTATACTTAATTGCATGTCTAGAGCTCAGTCTATGACTAAAATTAAAGGATGAGTAAGCCCAAGAGATGAGTCTTACGGAGAAGAAAACTAGAACAAAGGAAAAAGCTGAGACTGAAAATACCTGTAGGAGAGAAATATGCAGGAGATGAGGGCTGTGCATGCAAAACCAGTTGGTTGTTGGAAGTGTGTATATTCGAACTTTGCAGAAAGATTCTGGAATTTTGTCACTAAGGAACAGGAATGGTAAAGAATAAAGAATGTCTGTGGCAACACTGAGGTGATGAGAACCCAGAATATACCACTTCCTGGTCTCCCTTCTTAGAAACAGAAGGATTAATCCTACACGTTGCCTGAAATGTCTTCTCTTTGATAGTGATACAGGGACCAACAGCTGAACTCCATCAGCTTCACGTTTTGGTATATTTTTGAGGAAGGCTTTTGGTAATGAGACACTTTTCGAACAGTGAAAACATGCTGCTGGAGCAGAAGGAAGAGAGGCAAAAAAAGAGGTTAATGCTGAATAACTACCTTTGTAACCTGGTAAGATGACAAAGACATATATGATATAGGGAAGAAAGCATTTGTGGTCTGCTAGATACTATTACTGATATATTAAAATAAATCTCAATAGGAAGTTACTGAAAAGGAACCTTTGGAATGAGATCTTCCAGTATGGTCTTTGCATCTATGCAAAAAACTGTTTGAAAAATGTAAAAAAATACTGAGAAGTACACACTTCTGTTTTACTTGGAGAGACTGAGACAGTGTTACATTGTGGATGCCATGTGGTATTCCAGAACAAAATTGGAGTGGTTTCTAATTGTAGAGACAACTTTAATCAAAAGTTAAAATCTCTGACAGCTAAAATTTTTTACCTGTTCTTTACAAGATTTAAAAAAAAATGCCCAGTGTCACAGGAACAATTTTGTTATTGATGAAATGTACTTGGTATTGAGGGTGTGTAACTTGTAATGTCAGTGGGGTAAGAGTACAGGAAAGAGCATTGCAGCTCCATAAAGTGAAAGTTTCGTGTATCGTAGGAGCATTTTTGGAGAAGTTAAATGTCAGATTCTGAGATGCTTAGGATTCATGATTTGGATCAGATTGTACAAAGCACCAAGATAAGGAATGCTCCAAATTTGGCCCTTAAGAGTGTGGTTGTCCATTGCTTAGTACAGCCTCCAGTTCTGATGCCGAATTGAGAGTTCTACCAGTTTTGAAAAGTTGGTCAACCATACGTTAAATTGCTACATACGGCCTAAGTTTTTCACACTGCTTTTTACTTCTGAGTACCTGTAGAAACAAATAGGGAAGCAAAAAACAGAGAAAAAAGGTAGCTTGTATTGATATTCCAGCACCATTAGTTTATCAGTATGACTTCTTAGAGCTACAGAGTATTTCAATTTATTATTAGTAGCATTTCCATTTATTATTGCAGCTGGTTTTGATAAAGACAAAAAATTGCTATAGACTATGTTATTGATTGTGGAATTATGAAACAAGGATATAAAAATGAGTTAAGGTATTAAATGAATTTATTTTCCATTTCTGCATGGTTCAATCCCATGTTTTGTTGGGGTTAAAGGGTATTTTACAAATGAATTGATAAAACCAGTACATATAGTTTTCTAATAGAGTTTGTCTGCTATGTCATATTATATGTGCACAAAACTCATTATCTGTTTTGTTTGTGCAGTAATTATATTTTGTTGTCCTGTGCATTCCTTTTGCTCTCTCCATCTCATAATATGTGCTGTAAAAGCACACATAAATAAATAGGATAAACAAATTAAGCTGTTTAAATAAATTAATTTACTTTTCAGCTCTGTATTCAAATCTTATGTGCTCACTGGATTTCATTTTAATGAAACCCTTCTAAGAACAATACATTGTATGCCAAACAGTGAAATTATATATTAAATGAATGATTAAATATATCGTCTTCCAATTTATACCAAATCTGTATGCCGTGCATACTTAAATCCTCCTAAATCTAAAGAAATAAATCTTCTACATTCTGAAAACATCTGCATTATAATCCTCCTCTTGAATACCCGGTTCACGGACATATAAACACAATCAAAGTCATAATAAGCCTAGAGCTATGATGCAGTTAAACTATCCTCATCAATGTTTTTGACTTAAAAACCGGAGACTATTAAGTGGAATCCACTTAAATGTCTTGAAAAATTGCTCTGAAAGGTTTTCTCCCACTCTGTCACTAGGCCCATTGAATCCCTTTGCAGTCAGACTCTCAAGTCTAGCAAATACTTATTATGAAGCCTACCTGGGACAAATCTATTGATTACTATAGATGGTCATGTTGCTAAGTTTCATAGGAATGCATTCAGAGAAATAAATATTAATCTAGCTACTGTGCATGAAAAGTAATGACTGCTGCAAAAGCAATTTGCTGTGTGAGGAACGTGATGCTCTTTTCAAGAAAACTTTTAGGCATTTGCTCATCAAGTTTTCATATCTGTTGTTAAATACATACTAATTGTATTATTTCATTACCGAAAGCTTTTAGTGAGTTGAATGTATACAGTTGTTTGTTTGGTTTTTTTTGGCTTGCATTGGTTTGGGGTTTTTTCATTAGGAGTCAGGTTTTCAATTTTCAAAAGGAAAAAAAGAACAATAACCAACCTGTTTGACCAAACCAACATAACTCACATCTATTTGAGCAATGACACAGAGTCTTGGGAGCTATTAGCAATAAAGAGGAAACTGCAGGGGAAGACACAGAATTTTCTAGAAAGTACTCTTGCACTCAGCTCCCTTTGTTTATTGTTTCTGTCAAAGTTCTGTGTAAATATTAGGTATATCTACCTGCTACATATTGACGGTTCTCACACAGCAGAAGTGCAGTTCAAACCATCACAGTCCTCATGTTCTTAATTTTCAAAATCAAGGAGCATCTTCCAGTGTGTTGTAGCTCCGCCTGGATACCATGCCAGGCTTTCCTTTGGGTGGAAAAATGTGGGTAGCTGTTTTTCCCTATTTTGAAGTAGTGATATGGCCAAAGATGAAAAACACTCTTAGAAAAAATATGGTTAGTACTCTTAGAAAAAATAATCCAGATTTTTTGCCCCACAGTATAAGCAGACATTTGGACTTTCATCAGCCATGTTACTGGTATAGGTTCAGTAGGGAGATTATATTTTCTTTATGATCCGTAGCAGTTCCGTAAGATCTCATTGCTCAAGAAGCCCCTTTGAAATTAAAGCGTGAAATAAAATTCAGCATGAGCTAAAACAACAGTGTCTGTTCTTTATTTATTTAGAAAAGTACCTTGATCCTCACCGCATAAGGCGGAGGTCCACAAACTAGTAAACAAAATGTGTATTTCCAATCCAACAACATGCTGATCAAAGGGATGGGAAAAACCCAAAACCAAAAGCAGAGCAAAAACATTACTTTTATAAGTAGTCCAGAAGGCAGTTTGAAAGCCTGACAGGATGAGCAGTGCTTACATTGCGTACTAAAACGTAAACTCTAGTGTCCTAAAATTGCTAAGCTTCCTTTGAGAATACTCTGTGAATTGTGGACACCTCGAAAGAGGAAAGAATAAACTGTGATTTAGGAGGGAGATACAGTTTAGGGAACTGATGTTTGGAAACCACTGAGGTGTAGTTTAACAATGCCTTCTCTTTGCAATTATTTTTTGTGGGGGTCTAGGAACGTGTTCCAGACAGCCCTTCTCCTGCTCCTTCTCTTGAAGAGGGCCGAAGACCTGGCAGCCATCCATCCTCTCACCGAAGCAGCAGTGTGTCCAGCTCTCCTGCACGGACCGAGAGCTCTTCAGACAGAATCCGTAGGTCACATTCTTCTCCTTGTCACCACTTTAAATTTGATTAGGTGCAGCTGGTCTTTCTAATCAAAATGCCCTCGTCTTAAATAGATCTCATATGTATCATGTTCGGAAGTTCAGCTGCAATAACTATCTCCAGACATTATGTTCCCCAGTTTACAATATCATAATATCTGATGCTACATTAACGGGTACTGATATAAACTGCCATCATGTCATATTAAACATAAAGATATGAGCTATGAAATAGAGAATTGCTGTCGGGAAGCAATTTGCTAGATTAGTTTTAGAACTGAACCTATAGTGTAAACATTTTTTAAAGAAATTGACTTTTATTTAATCTGGTTACTCTGGTTTGAGTTCTAAATTGAATCTGACTTCATAAACAACATTGCATGGTAGAGTTGCTTGGTAAAGAGAAGAATTAAAAATTTAATTAAAATCAAATAAAAAATGTGCATACTTTGTAAAGTTTTTAAATACAAAAATTTGTGATGGTGAGAAATATGGTACAGAAAGTATTCCTGCCTGTAGCTCACAAGGAATGGACTGAAATTAAACCATGGTGTCTCAGAGTGGTACCGTTTTTGTCAAGGCTCCAGGTACAGGATGTAAAATACATGCCAAAGACCCTGAATTCTATGATATTCCAAAGCAACAGCCTGGAAATTAAGGTTTTAAACACATATTATTTTATGAATATTTACTTAAGGTCATATTACACTTGTCCATTCCTTTTACTGTTTCTCCGTTGCAAGTTTTTGTGCTTTTAAGGCATCTTTCCCACAGTGAAGTTTGTCAGTAGGTGAAACTGGAGGATTTGGCACGCAGATAGAAGGCCATGAAATAGCTGTATGAAATACGTAGTAGTGTTAATTAGATGCAGCATTTGTGTCTTTTCGACTGCTTCCTTTCAGGCTCTCCGCAGACTCAGGAAGCTGACTTTTCATTGACCTTCAGATGAAAGATCTTTCATTACTATGTGATGAAAAATGACTTACCAAAGAAAATAAATGAGGCCTGACCTTGACAAGCTGAAAATTCTGTTTTCTTGTCACTTGGACGATTCAGAATGCAGATTAAAGTGGCATTCCAGATACTGTGACCTATCTATTTCCCCAGGTTTTTATGAGTTCATAGGTAAAGTTCTGGGAAAAAAACTCACAACCCTGGATTTTTCATATTCTTTTTTTAATTGATTGATGGTATATTTTTTTGCAACCATTGAAGGCCTTTTCCATTGCTCTTTAAATAAAAAAGAGTGAATTAAATTGAGAGATACTTACTGTTTTTGCTAAGGAATTACATTTTTTTGTTTAAGAAAGGTTACTATTCAGCGTCCTTGGCTCGTTTACCAGCAGAGTGGGACCGTTGCACATTGGTTCTTCCAATGTGAACAATACAGAGTTCCTTAAGTCCTGGATCCCTTCAGTAACTTGTTTATTTATAAAATAACTCTTTTCTCTCCTATCTGATTTGTTAACATCACACCTGATTCTTAAGTACATCTACTTTTGTGGTGCCAACAAGAGTAAGATGACTACTGCAGAAATATGGATTACATATGAAAAAATGCTTTACTGAAAATGCCATAAGCCTCTTGCAAATGCAATTTTTCAGGATAAAAGCGTAGGGATATAAACTACCTTACACAGGTTTCGGAGGTGTTTTTGAGACTCATGAAGATCACTTGGAAAACTGTTGGAAAGAGCTTTTCAAGCAATGTGATGAGCAAATAAGCATTTCTGCTGGTGCACAGTATATTTTAAAAAAGTGTTTATCACCTGGAAGGCCACAATGCTTAATTTAAGGAAGTTAGGGACTGTGTATTGGGAATGCTGATACACAAGAGCTTTTGTACAACTAACTACACAAAAAAAATATTACTTAAGTATCTCTCTTAGAACCTTCTATTCTTTTCTGATTTGCTTCATTTTGCATTTCGGTTCAAACAAACAAGAAACTGTTTGCAAATATCCAACTTTGTCCAAAGATACTGAACTCTTCTTTCTAAAATGAACTGTTTTAAACCAGAAGTAACAGGAAGAAACTCTCCCGCTGTGTGGGTACTGATAGCACTAATTAAGTAACTTTGTGATTGTTAGAATTCTTGTATAATTAAGAGGAAGGCTATATAAAATAAGTACAAAAGTGTATTGTTAATGTGACGGCTGATTTTCTTTCTGCCTGCGCTTCTGTCTAGCAGCTGTCCATCAGAATGGGCTATCTATGAACCAAATGCTGATGGGTTTGTCACCTAATGTCCTGCCTGGACCTAAGGAGGGTGATCTGGCTGGTCATGACGTGGGACATGAGACAAAAAGAATACACATTGAGAAAGGTAATATGATTATTATGATTTTACTGTTTCAGTGTAAACCAAGTATTGTCTTAACAGATAAATAGTATTATATTTGTGATTTTTATTTTTTATTGTTTCACTAATTAAATTATAACAGGATGATAGCTTTCTTGATTCTTCTAGTTTGTGGCCCTCGACATGAATGAACAATATTTATATGAGGGAGGAATTTCATAAATATTACAAAGAAGGATGAGGGAAAAACAGTTCTACATTACTGTTGTGTCTCTGACCCTTCTACAACGCTGCGTAGGTATTAAGTTTCTGTCTTCATCCAGTTGACTTTAATGACCTACTTCCCAAAGGGACTGAGCACCGTGAAAATTAGTCCATGTGTGCAAAAAGGAAAAAGGCTAATACTGAGCCATTAAATTAAGGAATTGCATAAAATGAGGCTGGTACACATTATATAATGGGATTTAAATTTAATTGAGTATATGACCAAAGTGTTTGATCTAGGTGAATAGTCCACATGCACTTATGCTGATTATGACACAGTTTCATCTCTGTTGGTATTCAAAGTTAAGTTCCTCTTCAGGGTTGTTATAGGGGATTTTGGAGGGGTGGTGGTGGAATTTTAAAAGGCGCATTTCAGGTTATATTTACATAATATATGTGAGTTCTAAGTATTATAGACTAGAAACATTTTGGTTAAAGAGAGTTTAGAAATATGACATATCCTTGGAAAAAATACTCTTTGGGCTTATCTGAAAAATCAGTTCTTTGAGCACAATGAGAGGAAAAGTAAAAGGTATAACAGCCAGACATTGAAACAGAGCCAGAGAAACTGCTGCAGTAATGAAGATTTCAGAATAAGACATTCTGTGCCATATTTTAATAGCTGTAAGGTGATACCTTCCCTGACTTGTGTTTGAACACTGAGATATAAAAAAGAACTGAAATCTGGACAATTCTTTTCTGGACAGGTGGCATTTTTAATAGGATTACCAGAAAAATTAATGGAAACAACATTTCTTTTATATAAACCATTTAGTTTGGTTCATTGCACACACAACCTGTTTTAGCTTATACTATGCCCTCGCTCAGCCCCTGCAAATTGTATCCCTGCTGTGAAGTATGATGTGATCAAATAGGTTTGTTTTGAATTTCCATAAATGATTTTATTTCAGCATTTGAAGTTACTCATTTAAGTGTAATCAGACTGGTAAATCTGGCAAAGAGAAGTACGTATTAAGAATTGCTACTGTCTTTGCATGTCATTCAGGTTTTTTAAAGGCTTTGTTTATAATGGTACCCCAAACGTATTCTCCATTCTGTTGCCAATTCACATATATGCAAGATCTGCTCCCAGTAAAACTGCTGAGAATTCTCTTTTTTCCTCAGTCCTTGTTTAGGTCAAACCTTCTATTTTTTCTTCTTTTTTCCCCCCCTCTGTTCCAGCCTACTGAATTAATGGTAAATATTCATGGGCTATCTAGATTGATAGGGTATACTAAATTAAAAATTGTTTTCTGTCATGACTACATTTATCATGTCTCTCGTACCAATCTTGTAAGTTTAATACTAATGTAATCTGTATTAAAACAAGTGATTTAACTTAGAGATATTTGTGCAGATAGTAATTATCTACTTCTGTCACTGTGAGCTTGCAATCAGATTTCCGAACTGTTGCTTACCACTGCAAATCAATCAGAATGCAGTCATATTTGAAAATGCAAACAAAGGTATGTAGGTGGTGGTACTCTTATCGTTGAAACCCCGTCACCTTCATCATCTGATTAAAACAAAAGGGAACGAGAAAACAATATCATGAAGCATTTAAACATTATGATGTTTTCTTTTAATCTGCTTTTGTTGGCAGATGTCAATCAGCTGCAACTAAAACGGCTTTTAGTTGAACCTGGGAGAGCCTGGGAAGTCCTGCCTGCTAAAGAGGGCCCTGTGTTTTCTCTTCTTGTCCCTCTTCTATTAAAAAAATGAAAAGACCAAAAATCACTGAAGTGATCTGAGCTCAGGGAAAATATATTTACAGACAACAGAGAATTTAAAGCGGGGAGGTTATAACAGAGACAACTGGTCAACGTACCAGATTTTGAAAAGACTTACCATATGTCAGAGAAGTGAATCATCTGTCTAACCTGATCCACCCGCTCCCTGGGTTCCATGAGAAGGAAACTTAGATTTGCTGAGGGTTATGTTGTGGTTCAGCCAGGTTCCTAGTGTGGAAAAGGGGGGAGTGCAGGAGACACTGCAGAGCACTTCTGCCCCACAGTTCGTACATAACTCAACATGTTATTATCTGCATAAGCAGAGAACTCAATTACCCTAGATTTCCAGGAGTTTCTCCTGATTAGAGGACAGCAGATTTTCCAAATTTACTGAAAGCAGGCTATAAAACTGCAAATGGTCCTGGGAAGAAGTGGGTAAGTACAAGTGCACGATGTTAGTTCAAGTACTTGACTGTCATCATCAAAACCAAGTATCTAATTTTGTAACCTGTAATTATGGACTATTTGATGATGCACGTTTGGTTTTATTAGGTCAGATTTCACAAGGAGGACTTACATGAAGTATAGGAGCCATATTAGAAAAGATCCATTCAGGTTTTTTTCATTAAAATCAAGGTTCTGAGTCTTTTCAAGTAAAGTTTCTATGGCTCAAAGACTTTGCTCTAGACAGTCCTTCAATTTTGATGAGGTATATTTTATCACTTATGCTGCTCAGCTGTTAGCTGAGGTCCTGCAGATCTCCCAGTCTAAAAATGCAAGAAGTGTATTTTTGATGTTTTCTATGGGGCTGAATACTTGATCAGCTTTTCAGTGATGTTGTCTGTTAAATCTGGAAATAGCATAGGAAGGAGGAACTAGCAGAAAACCTAGGGACTAGGCTGCTGAATCCTGAGCCTCCTCTTGCTCACTGGTTTGAAGAGTTCAAAATAGTCAGTGGCTTCAGAGTTAAACATCCTAATTGCTTGTAGGCAGAAGAGAGAACTGAACTTGCAGCACATTTCCTGGGCAGTATCCCTAATCACTGTGCTTTGTGTAAAAGAGGGAAGTATGGTTTACCATTGTCCATTTGCCCTTACAACCTGGACTCTGGTCATACGGGGTCTGCAAGGTGGAATTTATAGCTCAGTCCTATTCGCAGTGTTTCCCTATTTACTAGCTCCAGATAGCTGCATATTATTTTGTGTTGACTTTAGGCGGACTGTAGGTCTACTCGTTGATTTCATTAGATCCCAGTTGCAAGTAGCTGGCTTGGGTAATATTAAGTGATGTTGGAGGCACTGGCCGCTCATAATACCCTGTAACTGCTACCTGCCTAGCAATGCCTACCCTGTGCAATATATAGGAATGCAAGACCCAGCTCACTTCAGCCCCAGGTTCCATTCTAGGGGACAAATACCTAAAAGTTAGTTGCTTTAACACCAAATTTAGATGCCTAAGTCTTTTATTGGATCTGGCCCTAGGGCATCAGATTAGAATTTTCTGTCTGCATCAATTTATATTTTTTTAGATTGACACCAACAGCAAATGAAGCCTGAATGTCATGCTTACATTTTAAATTGAATATGTTATTTGAGGTGTTATGGGAAGGACACTCTCTTGTTGAAAATGTGGATGCTGTTTTCTATAACAAAATATAAAATATTCACGATGTTCACAAAAGAAGCTGAATTATTTCTTTCAGAAAAGCTTTTTAATGTTAATGGAAATTTCTTAAGTAATTTTCAGGTTATCAACAATAACTGCTTCTTGACTACTGTGATAGCAGCAATTAAAGTATAACTTTATCAAATCCACATATTAAAAAGTCCCAGTCTTTCTCTCTCTTTTTATTTCATGTCCCCCTGTACCAATGTGAGCAATCTTAGACCTCCGGCTAATATCTTACAAAATAGAATATTAAAATTCCAAAATATCTTTAATGCAAAATGGAAAATAATTTAAATATTCAAAAGTTATAATTAGAATTGTGTTTTCCTGTTAGCAGTCACACATCAAAAAGGGAACTCATGATAAATACGTCATTCTATATAGTTGGATACTCATTTTGCATTATCGGCGGTAAATACTTTTATATATATATAGTGTGTATATATATCAAGCATGTTTATTCACCTTAAAAAATATAGTAACATAGAGGAGTATGTTTTCATAAATATGAAAGACTTAAAGGAAGTTTTACCATCAACAAGGATTCTCTTCTACCTGAGCTGTCCTCTAGCAAAGTCAGCAAACAAATGTTCCGGAACTTTGCTTGAATTCTGTTTCTGGGCTGCATTATGATTTTAGTTAGTTCTCTGAGAAAGCACTTTCTTAAAGAGTTGTTACCAGTTGACCTACAGAGGAATTTTCATTCGCAGTTCTGCTGTCCAACTGCTTGTGTAAACATACTTTATCTGTTCATTTTCATTTTCATGTACATACATACACACAGAGATACTTATACAGCATGTTTATTTTACTGAATATTGCATTTTAATGTAACAAGAAGAATATACACAGACCTTGTTAGGTATCTATATGCAAATATATTTACAGTTAACACATTTCAGGTAAACATTCTCACTTCACTTCTTAAATGTTATCTGTTAAAGCTTAATATGTTAGTTTGTAATTCCTCAAGATACGGAGTTCAGGCTACGTATTTATACATCATCTAGCACATTGTGAAATTGATCTGGATCTGAGCTTTAAATACTCCTCAAACCCGAAACACATAGCAGTCATATTTGTAACCTATGACAGATGATACGAAGATCCACTAAATGAAAGGTTCAAGAAAGCTAGCATCACCAAAGTAACCTTTAGACGCTCTGGTTGTTGGTGTGTCTTTTCACTCAGCCCAAGAGGCTCAAGAATGGTTAAAGTACATTCAAATCTGTTACAGTTAATGGACTACAAAGGTGAAAAATGAAATTGCAGGTTTTTTCTTAATGGGCTGTTACTTACTAAGAAGCCAGAAAACATCTGGGGTTTTTTTGCATAGAAGACACAGAAGCCTTTTATAGTATT